AAAAAACAAAAAAAGTTTTATTAGATGTGTGCACGTATGTGTTCTTTTTTTAACATTACACACACAGATTACTCTCACTTTGAGTGAGGTTTCCCATAAAATAAAGCAGTTAAGTAAAGCTAATAATACAGAGGCCTTATCTGAAAGTACATGCAACATTCCACATGTGCACCTCTTCCCTACCTCTGCTCTTCATCTTTTTTATTTGTGCCAAGGGCTTTCTACTAGGGTCCTTTTGTCCCAACATCATTTCCCTAAGTTTATATGCTGTGTATAATGCTTTGGAGCACATGATATAGCACTTTCTTAAGTGCCATAGAAATGTGTTTGTGTGTGTGTGTGTTTTAATGTTGTTGAGGTCCAGAGGCAGCCTATTGCAGTGGAAAGAACTCGATTTAGAGTGAGAAGACTTGGGTTGAATTCTGACCTTAAATTTTTCCTGTTATTTTCCTTAATGATATTTTGTCATTAAAATGGACATATTCATGTATCTAACTCTCTTAGATCACAAATTTGGTAGAGATCAAGTATCTAGTACTGTACTTCTTGGTATTTCACTCAACAGCTAGTACAGCATTATATAGATAATACTATGTAACAACATATATAATCCATATTTCATATAGATTACATAAAATATTTGCTGAGTTAAAGTCTTATTTCTTAATTGCTACATATGCAAATTATTGGTCTTTGTAACTTTTTTGCTACACCAATAATGAGGGTCAAGATTCTATCTGGTAAGGCAGTCCAGTCTACTCTGCCCCTCTGCAAATTACATCTTTAGTTTCAAGGATTGTAGTGTAGGACGAAGCAGAACAAGTCTACAGGCCTCCATGTATGCTATTCAAATCTTGAATGTACCTTTTTATTTATATATGGTCTGTCACCTTAGAAAGTAGCCTTCTTGAGTTGAGAAAGTTGACTTCTTGAGGAACTCTTTTTGCCTTTCTTTTTATAGTTACCACTTAACAAAGTGCCATGCACATAGATTAAGAAATACTTGTTGACAGGGACTATTTTTTTCCCCACATAATAGCCTTCAAACACTTGCCTTCTCTCTTCCAGTATAACCACCCCTGGTTCTTTTAACGAATCCTCAGATGATGTGACTTCCACTCCTGGTATGATGAAGTAAAAAGGGTCCTGGATTTGGCACCAGAGGGCATGCATTTGAATCCTGGCTCTGCCATTTACTACCAAGTGACCTTGGACCAGTCATTTAGTTTCTCTAGGCCTCAATTTTTTCATTTACTGTAAAAAAGAGGAGACCATGGTTCCTTTCAGCTTAAAATCTGTGATCCTGCAATCTCCTCAAAAGCCTGGTTATCCTCTTCTGGACAGTCTCTATCTCCTCATTGTCTTTCTTAAAATGTGGTCCCTATGCTAAACACAAAATTTCAGATGTGGTTCGGATAGGGAAGAATGCAGTGGGAATATTTCTTTCCTACTTCTTGACACTATGCTCCTCTTGGGGCATCGAGGTGGCACAATGGGTAGACTGCTGGCCATGGAGTCAAGAGGAACTAAGTTCAAATTCAACCTCAGACACTTACTAACTGTGTGACCCTGGGCAAGTCTCTTGACCCTGTTTGCCTTAGTTTCCTTATCCGTAAAAATGAGCCGGAGAAGGAAATGCAAACCACCCCAGTATTTTTGCCAAAGAAACCCCAAATTGGGTCATAAATGTTCAGGCACGACTGAACAAAACAAATGCTCTTCTTAATGCTCCCTAAGATCATGTTAGCTTTTTGAGGGGTGCCATATTGAATTGTTGACTCATACTGTACTTTCTGTCCATTGAAATCTCAAATCTTTTTCAAAGGAAAAGCCATATTGCTCCTGTCTCGTGCTGGTGAAATTGGTTTGTTGAGGTTGACTTAGATGAAAGCCTAAAGATGGAGTCAGTATCCTAGATGTTTGACATTGTATAGGCCAAAGAGCCTGGGTTCCTGATTATATTTGTCAGTTATCACATGAATATCTTCTAAGCCTAAGTACCTTTTATACCCTCCAAATGATCTCAATGAATGGACATATATAAGGCATTTTCTATAGGAATCAAGAATGGACTTGTTGTTTCATTGGTAAAGGAAACTCCCAGGTGAGGAAATTCTTACCAATGCCAGTTGGCGCTTTCTACTTCAATCTATACTCAGAATTCATCAGTTCTCTCTCTGGAGGTGGACAGCATTTTTCATCTTGAGTCCTTTGTTGCTTCCAACTCTGCCACACCTTTCAGATCCTCCCCCCACCCCTTCCTCCAACTTCTATTTTGTGCCAGTTTGGTTGAGAGGTGAGCAATGGCAGTCATAGTAAAGAGAATGTGCTAGGGTTCAAGTCCCAATATCTAGTGATGATAACAAAATAATTGAATTTCCTTGAGCCACAGACTATATACTCATAGCTCTCCTTTTCTCAGTCAAACTCAGTCAACAAGCATTTACTAAATGCTTACTTATGTACCAGGCATTGAACTCCTAGAAAAAGATGTCTATACTCACAGCCTTCTTCTCTCACTTAACTCTTTATAATCTGACTTTTGACCTCATTGCTTGAAAGAAAGTGCCATTTCCAAAGTTATCAGTGATCTCTCTTAATTTCCAATCTAATGGTCTTCCCACCCCCAACCCCCAGTCCTCATCCTTCTCAACCAATCTGCTGCATTTGATATTGAAGAACCTCTCTGCCTGGATACTCTCTTCTCTCTGGGCTTCATAGACATTAAAGTCTATAGGTTCTTCTACCTGTCTAACCACTCTTTGGTTTCCTTTGTTGGTTCATCATTCCAGATCATACCCTCTGGATATGAGTGTTTCCCAAGGTTCTGTCATGGACCCCTTATTTTCTCTTTTCACTATCTTGGTGACTTAATTGGTTCCCGTGGGTTGGTTTAATTATCATCATGATGCCAGAGACTCTCAGATCATTCAGTACCTGAACTTCAATACCACATTACCAGATGCCTATTGGACATTTCAAACTGGATATCCTGGAGACATCTCAAACTCAATCATATCCAAAACAGTACTCATTATCTTTTCCTCAACTCCTCTTCCAAACTTCCCTATTTCTGTCCAGGGCCCTTCATTCTTCCAGTCGCCCAGGTTTATAACCTTGGTGTTGTCCTCAACTCCTCACTCTCCTTCCCCACCTCCAATATCTAATCAGTTCCCTAATTTTAATACTACATTGCACATCTCTCAATCAGACCCCTTCTCTCCAGCCACCCATCTTCAGGTCCTCATTACTTTTTGCCTAAATGCCTGGAACAGCCTTCTAATTGATCTCTCTGCTTCAAGTCTCCTACTTTAGGAGATCTTACTATGTCACTTCCCTACTCTATAAATTCCAGTGATGCCTTCTGCCTCTAGGATAAAACATACACTCCTCAGTAGCATGTAGGATGCCTTAACCTATCCTTCCATACCCGCTGACCATCACTGCCTCCCCTGAACTCTGTGATCCAGTCAAAAAGGCCTTCTTCATTCCTCATACATGACACTCCATCTCTTGCCTCCATGCCTCTGCATTAGCTGTTCCCCAAATCTGGCATGCATTCTTTCCCCACCTCCATCTGATAGAATCCCCTCAGTCCAACAAGATGAAGCTCAAGAACCTTCTATAGTGAAGCATGGGTCCCCTCCCAACTACCATGTTTTTAACTACTTGGTATTTCTTCTCTTTATATTTCTTCTGTATTTATTTATATATGTCCTTGTTGTCTTTGCAAAACAATAAGAGATTCTAAGTGGCAATGGACAGGTGACTGAATTAATACAAAAGAATAATACACCTTATAAGAATAATAAAAATAATACCTTATAAGAACAATGCCAAGAAGGCTAAAGTCCAGAATGAGTCCATCTAAATGCCTCTAAGTGCCAAGTACACAAAAAAGTGCTTTTAAATTTACATTGAGGGCAAGAAGCAGAATAAGGAAGGGATAGGAGGGAAAGGCTTGAGATGGATGAGAAAATAGAAAGATGACAAAGAGAAAGCAGAACTATTCAAGTCCAATTTTTTTTGTGTGTCTTTTCTATCAAGAAGAATGATCCTTATGCGCCTTTTCTGATGTAGCATCTCAACTCACACTGGCAGATTGGGTCAGTTGGGGGGATGATTACTCCAGATTCAGGGACTATGAGGTATACTCTCCTAAAGTTATAGCTCAGAAAACTTTACTTCTAGGTGGGTGGGGGCTTTATTATTCAACCAGCTGACAAAGTTAGTACAAAGCAAAGGCATTTACTGAAATGGCATAACATGAACAAGTAACAAAGCATCCTCCTATGAACCTGGGGTGCACTTGCCCACAAATACATGTAGGATTTGCAGGGGGAGTGGGCACACACATAGAGTATATTAGTAGAGAGACACATGCATGGAGGAAACACAGGTTGAAGGAACTCACCCCTCTGGCACTGCTGGATGTTTTGTCTCTTCTCTTGGTGTCCTCATGCTTCTTCCTCTGGGTGCAGCATCTATTTAGGAACTCTCTACACCAGACTCACTAGGCCTGCTCCTTTCCCAGCTCAGCTGTCTGGGCCTGCTCTCTGATGGATGAGGTGTCTCCAAAGGTACCTGCTTTGACTGCAAGATTCCATTGCCAATGTGGGAGGTGGGGAAGGAGAAAAGAAGAATCCCCTCATCCTTTAATGCACTCTGGAAGGAAGGTAAGTTTGTCATGACTTCACAGCATTTCAGAACTGGCACTTCAAAAATCATCTGTTTCAAAGTGTACCTAAGTAGGTGTCTTCTCTACAAGAACCCTGACAAATGGTCACTCTCCTGTGGGGAAGGGAAGCCTATTGCCTTCAGAGAGAGCCTGTTTCACTTTTGGACAGTTCCAATTTTTAGGAAATGTTTTCTTACATGAAGCCTAAATCTTCGTCTCTGCAACTTTTACACATTGTTCCCAATTCTAGTCTCAAGTGCCAAGAACAAATCTAATTTCCTTTCTATGCAGCAATCCTACTAATACTTAAAGACGACTTCCATGCCTTTCTCCTAAGTCTTCCTTCTCTATGTATGCTTTGTATCCTCACTTCCTTTGCTGGATCTTATATAGCATGATCTCTAATACTCTCATTATCATCACTGCCTTCCTCTAAACATGTTCCAATTTGTCAGTCATTTCTAAAGTATGATGATTAATTAACAGAATTAAATACAGGACCTTAGCTGAGAGGCAGTGTTGAACAATAGATAGTTCAATAGAGGGTTCAAATAACCTTCTCTAACACATACTGGCTATGGCAGTAATCCTAGGCAAGACTCAAGACCCAAATAACTCTCCAAAATTATAAAATGCAAAAGTTATTTCTTTGATATGAGAAACTTCCCATTATAGGCCTCTGCCTACCTCCTAGATCACAGTCACTATTATCTTAGGCTACTGTCAAAGTTGAATTGCCTAAAAGGTCAATCATGAGTTCAGAAAAGATTATCCATGAGCTTAACTATATGTGCCCTGGTCAATTAATATGCCACAATCTTCAAAGTAGATACAGACTTTTGGTGATAGCAATGTGAATGAGTCGGGCACTAAGCATTCATCAAGTATCTGCTATGCACCAGGCACTGTCCTAGGTACTGGGGATACAAAAAGAGGCAAAAAACAATCCCTGCTCTCAAGGAGCTCTAAGTCTACAGGAGAGACAACAAGCAAACAAATATGTACAAACAAGATATGTATGAGATAAACAGGAAATAATTAATAGAAGAAAGACACTAGAATTGTTGTGGTTGTTTGTCCTTCATTCTCAAAGAGGACCAATGAGATCACAAGGGTGTGTCTTGACTTGTGAGTGAATTGGGTTTAAGTGAGGCAGTTTTGGAAAATTATCAGCCTCACTCTCTCCTCCAGAGTCATTAAAGTCCAGCGGCAAGACAAAAGTCAAAATGATTCAGTGGGTGACACTGGCCTTTCTAAATTAAGATATATTAGAAATAATCAACAAAAGGAAGGCACTAGAATTAAGAAGGAATGGGGGAAGCTTCCTTTAGAAGGTGGGATTTTATCTGGGACTTGAAGGAAACCACGGAAGCAAGGAAATGGAAATGAGAAAAAGAATTCCATGCATGGGGACAGCCAGTGAAAATATCTGGACCCAGGAGATGACAAACTCATCTCAATTCATATTGGGTTAGGAATGGTTGATAGAACCTGTTCTGTGAATGGATTTTGACAAAGAGAAAAAGACCTTGAAATAGAGAAATAAGAGATAAAAAAAAATTATCTTTCTAGAGGATTGGGAAAAGCTTCTTATAGAAAGTGGAATCTTAGCTAGGATTTGAAGAAAGTCAGGGAGGTCAGGAGGTAGAGATCAGAAGGGAGAGCATTCTAGGAATAGGAGGCAGCCAGAGAAAATGCCTGGAGCAGAGTGATGGAATGTCTTGTTCAAAGAGCAGCCAAGGGGTCCTGTGACATTGAATGGAAGAGTATCTGAGGAAGTGTTAGGTATAGGAAGATTAAAAAGATGGTGGTGGTGGTGTGGGGTGGTGGGGAGAGTAGATTATAGAAGGCTTTGAATGCAAAATGGAGACTTTTGTGTTTGATGATGATGATGGTGATAATAATAGTAATAGTTAGGATTTACATAGCACTTCAAGGTTTACAAAGCATTTTACAAATATTAGCTCTTTTTTTCATCTACTTAACTCTGGGAAATGGATACTAATATTATCACTCATTTTATAGATGAGGAAACTGAGGTAGACAGAGATCAAATTATTTGCCTAGGGTCACACAGTAAATGACTGAGGTGAACTCAAGTTTTCCTGACTTCAGGTCCAGTTCTTTATCCACTGCACCCCCTAGCAATCCAGACTCAAATTTGAATTGCTGTTGATTTGTCCAGTGATTCCCGATGGATATTCCTGTTTCTATTGGCATGCGAATTGCTATTGTAGGACTAAGAACTCTACAAACCTGGAAGATTCTATCAGTTACTGAGAAGTTGCTGAGAACAACTGCAGCAGCATTCACATTTCCTGATTTCTTTATCTGTCTGAGATCTGGTCACCAAAATAGCCTGTATTAAATCCCAAGGGGATATATATTAGTTGTGTGTTGGATTTTGCTTTTACCTTTCAGTGGCATAGAAGTTACATTTACCATTTAAAGAGCATTAATTATCCATTTAGAGAGATTTTGCTTCTGAAGGCTGGGAAATGAGCAAGAGAAACTGACTACCTTTCCAAACTTGGAATTACAAAAAAGAAGTGTAGGATATCCCTGATTTGACAGTTACCTCCAATGATCTAGATTGTAACTCACCCATGCTTTCCTGTCCTGTTTAACTCTTGTTCATGTTCTCCCAAAAGTTCACCAGAGAGGATCTACCCAAAGTGGTGGAGGCCTTACTTGCTTTCTCTCAACATTGCAAGAATACCAGTTGAGCACTTTGGCTATCTAACACTCTTGCCTTGCTCTTGCCATGAGACCAACCCACCTTCTCTTCCTATCATGCAGTTCTCTTTTATGACATCCTTTACTCTTGTTCTTCTTCAGAGTTGGTCATTGATTTCATGTTGCAGCCTGTTCATACCCACAATGCATGTCTCCATTGCCTTCTGTGTGATATTCCTCTTTAGTTATTTGGAGGCAAAGATAGTCTGTTTGCTGTACAAACAAGGGTAAAATGTTAGTATTTTATTATAGGCAATTGGAGTTAAGTAACTTGCCCAGGGTCACACAGTTACTAAGTGTCTAAGGCCAGATTTGAACTCAGGTTCTCCTGACTCCAGGGTTGGTGCTCTATCCACTGCACCACTTAGCCACCCCTAAATGTTAGTATTTTAAAGGTAGGTCTTTGCTTTATAGAAAACTTGGGGTCAGTAAAGAGCTTTGCAATTTTCCAAAAGCAATACATTTTTTTTTAATCCTGGGCTTAGCTCATGTCCATTTATACCATGGATCCCCATGGGGTGAATAGATTCTAAGAGGAAGTTATGAACTTGGATGAGAAAAAATTACATTTTTATTTATGCTATTCTCCAATTGAAATTTAGCATTTTCTTCAATAATGAAGAAGGGAACAAATATAATTCTGAGAGAGGGTCCCTTGGCTTCATTAGTCGGGCAACAGCATCTATGCCACAAAAAGGATAAGAAGTCCTAATGCATGTTATCTGTCTCAGGTATTCACACTGTTGGGCAGCTCTTTATGTTGTCCATCTATATGCATGTTGAAATCTTGGCAACAAACATTCTTCATCTGTTCGGATTTCCCTGCATGGATGGGATTTTTTTTTTTTAGGTTAAGAAACTTAAGTTATTTTTAGGCTGCTATAGGAAAATGTCAATAGCTTGTGTCACTAGTTCTTTCAGGATTTCTCCTTCTGCAGAACTCTTGAAAACTGGAATCTGTATTGGAATTGATTGAATGAAATAGGCTAGTGCCTGCTCAGAGCCCCAACTGCAAATAGTTAATCCTGAGATCACCTCACATGTCTGGTGTTTTCTCACTGACGAAAAGACTTTCACATCCTTGGAATCCCAGTGTCCTGTCACTACTTCAGCCTTTGGGCTGAATGTATTTTTTGGGAATGTATTGTGGCCGGCCCTTAGTGACATCCTCATTTAAAAAGGGCTGTGCACTCCCAGGATCTGAAGATGTTCCTAGGTCTACTTTTCTCCTGAGGCACTGAATGCATCTCTGGGAATTCTGCAGCTTCAAAGTGCATTTCACCATGAACTTTAAGCAAATTTTTAGTTAGACCCCACTGGTATGAGGGTTTGTGCTTATAACAGCATTCCCCATGACGAATGATTCATTGTTGAGTTTACTTTTTAAAGCATTTATGATGATGGCCAAATGGAAGCCTTGAACTAGTTTGTGTTTGTCAGTGTGTTCAAAAGACATAGGAATTAAATCAGCACAGATAAAAGGCAAAGAGCAAAGGGTGCAGTCTTTAAAATGCCTGTTTTAGAAAATTCTATGTATATTACTTTTTAAAATGTGCTGTTTCATGCACCAGGAGAAAATAATGCCACAAAAACCCAGAGAAAAGAGAGGATCAAGGATAAGGTGGCAAGGGCTACAGAAAGGTCAAGGATGAGAATTAAGAAAAATTATTAGATTTGGCAATTAAAAATTAATGGTAAATTTAGAGAGAGCAGTTTTAATTGAATGAAGAGGTTGGAAGCCAGAACATGGAGAGTTGAGAGTGAGAGGAAAGGAAGTGGAGGTACCTACTGTAGGTGGCTTTCTCAAGAAATTTAGAACCATAACAGATGATGCTAATTGGAAGGGATGGACAGACAAGTGAGTTTTTTGAGAATGGGGGAGACATGGGGATGTTTGTAGGCAGCAGAGAAGCAGGCAATTGACAGGGAGCCAGGCTCTTTTAGGTGTTGATAAATAAGTTTTAATTCAATATAAGGTAAATATTTTACAAAAACTACAATCACTTATAGTTCTCTAAGCTAGAATTTTGGGTTTTTAACTAAGGACAGTTTAAATAATCACATCACAGTAAATCTTAAAGGAATTAAGAAGTACTTCAAATTGGACATACTTTTTGAAGGCAAACTTGGCAATCAACCAACATGTACTTAAGTGCCTGCAATTAGAAGCAGCTAGTTGGCACCGAATGTAGGAGTGTTGGAGAGACCTGTTGAGCAAACCTGAATTCAAATTCTACCTCAGATAGTAGCTCTGTGACCCTGGGCAAGTCACATAACCAGCCTGCCTCAGTTTCCCTATCTGTAAAATGAGGCTAATATTACATGCCTCCTAGGGTTGTTGTGAGGATCAAATGAGCTAATATACACAGGGTACTTTGCAAACCTGATTAATCAAAATTGTTTTGCCTTTAAATTTATTTTTAGTTTTCAACATTCACTTCCACAAGATTTTGAATTCCATATTTTCTCCCCATCTCATTTCTCCCCCCCACCCCATACTTTGCAAACCTTAAAAGGCTACATAAATGCTAGCTGTTTTTACAATGTGTCAGGCACTGGGCATACAGATAATAAAGACAGTCAGTCCCTGACAACCAGGAGCTTATATTCTCTAGGGGATGCACGTTCACAGATAAAATAAAGAATACAAAACAAATACACTGACTGGGTGGGGATCTTAACTTCGAGGAAAAATAAGGAAAGGCCTCCTGAAGGAAGCGGCACTTCAAGTGAGCTTTGAAGGAAGGCATAAGAAAGAAAGGAGAGCATTCTGTGAAAGAGGACCAAGTCTAGACCAGTTTCGCTGGAAGCAGAGGAGTGATGTGGAATTAGTTTGGAAAGATAAAATTAAAGGCTGATTTTTTAAAAAAGAAAAACCATGGATTCTTCTAGTGGTCAAATTAAAAAAAAGAATAAATGCACTCCTTTGGACTCTAAGAGACACATCTATATAACCTGGTCTCCAGTATTTATTATTCTCTACTTGAATATAGGATATGGACTTAAAGATTCACAGTAAAGGTTCTGAAGCAGTTATGTAAGATGTTCTAGGTGTTAAAAGGTTTCTTTTTAGAAATTTAAAGTTTCTCTGAATCCTTAATTTGATGTAGATAACTGTAGTAGGTAGTAATTGTACAGATTTCTACTTCTTTGTTTAATTCTTGAATACCTGGCTAATAAACAATGACTCAGAATAAAGGTAGGCGATACAGAAAAAGTACAGTTAATTTGCTGATGAAGGTAGCCTTTTGGGGGTAGCTGTGGGCAGTGGTTAGAGTTCCAGAGTTAGAGTCAGATCCCACCTCTAACACTAGTCATTCTGGGCAAGTCACTGAAGCTCTCTGACTCTTTAATTTCCTCCTCTGTAAAACAAGGGGATTGGACCAGATGGAATCTCAGGTATCTTTCAGTTCTAGATCTACAACATGAAAACAACATGGTTCTTTAGGGAGGGTTTTATTTTTTCCACACACAGATAACTGAAAGGACAAAGTTTTTCAAAATACAGTAATTGGTGAAGACATACAGTATGCTTATTATAATCAATTTTATATTACAGCACACAGTTAATGAATTTTCTTTGTTTACTCAACTGTTTCTGATGTTATTAAAAAGATAAGCGCATATTAAAATGTTTGTAATATTGTAACATAGCAAAGTCCCTTATATTAATTTAAAGAGTAGCATCATTGGGGTTGGTAAAAGAACAAGGCACAGAATTATTACAACTTCTTAAAATAAGTGCAACACTTCATACAATTATTAGTGGGGAATGAGGTATTCTATATAAGTGAATTTTCTACAAAACCAAAGCTTACACTTTTAAAAGTGACAAAGTTTTCATTTTAACCACCTTAAATCAACATTTCTCCAAAATATATTAAACCCTTTTCTGCTTTCTTTAAGAGCGATTGTAACATTTCACCTTTTTCTCTTGGTATTGTCATGAACAACTATTATATTGTGCTATAATACAATGATGTTAATAGGAGCTATTGAGGTGTGTAGGGATAACATACACACTCTAACTACAAATAGCCCCACACTACTCTATTTTTTGAGTTGTGTCAACTTGTCACTTTCTTGACTCTTTCACTGTTAGTCTGTTTGGACAACTATCTTCTCCCTTTTTCTAATTTGCTGTTAACTAAACTGTAAGCTTAATGAAGGCAGGGACTACATCTGAGATGGCTTCAATAAATGTTTGCTTAGTTGCATTAAATTTTAATCTCTGCTAGGCTGAGAAGGCAGAAAACCAAGTTTTTTAGAATTATATGTACAATGGAACAAGTTCTCTGGGTGTTAGGTTGCTTAGGGGCTTTTCTATGAATGATATACGTGAGCCTTTGTGGTTACTGACTTTTTTTTTCCCCTTTACTTTTCAGTTCTCACTGTTATGGACAGTTGAGGTTCCCAAGGAAATAACCTTGCATAAGTGAAGTGTCACTGTACTAATATTTCATCAACCATAATATGATAATGGCTACTCCTTTATTAATAGGGACACCATTTTAATAAAGCTATGGTTCAGGACACACAAACATTGCAAATGACAATTATTTTATATATCATTTTGTAATTTGACTTTATAAAATTATTTCTGTGGTAAAGTCTGGTACAGAGTATTGCTGCAACATTTTTCCTGATGCTATTTCTCAAACTAACAATCCTCCCAGTCATTTAAAAGTACAGCTTCTATTTCTCCTTAAGTGTGACAATTAGATTTGGCATGCAAATGACAATTATTGGTTTCTGAGGCTAATGACACTGAAAGCATAATTCTAGCTAATTTAATTGTTATTCTTCACTTTTTACATTGAAAAATTTGCACATTATTTGTGGAAATAACTAACATTATCGATATTCTTTATTTATATGCCTAACAAAACAGATGTATTCTCTTTAACAATACTCTTTCATATTACTGTTTAGAATTATAAGTCAAACTAAGAAACATTTGCCATTTTAGTGTTTTCATGGCATGATTCAAAATTCATACTTAGGGGAAAAGAGTATAAAACTGGTAAGGTAAAACAATTTTCTTCCCTCCATACTTCCTACATAATTTTATGGATTAAAAAATTAAAATAAATTATGTGCAAAATGTGTTTACAAATGCGTTTATTCAAGACTGTAAACTTTTTTCATTTTAAAACTGTTCACAAGGCTAAAACTAGTCAATATAGAAACATATTTAATGGAAAAAAAAGTACCCAGTATAATTGACCAACAAAATCTTTTACATAATATGTCAACTGATACATTTCAAAAAATTAAGAATCTATTTTCTTCAAAGGCTTATACTCTGAAAATGTATTTATTCTTCTATAGGAGGCTTTTATAAAAAAAGTTTTAAAAGTTACAATTCTCCCCTCAAAATTAGGACCCTAAATTAAAACCATTAATTATTTCTACATCCTTAATTTAGATGCCAAGAAAAAATATCATGTATCTCTATAATAGAGACTATTTGAAAAACATCTTTTTGTTTGGTCACTACTTTTATATTTAACTGGAATTCAGTTGTTAATTAACACTAAAGAGTTATCCAATCAAGAGTCCTTTATTTTTCCCATTATTTGACTTCTCTCCCCCTTTTATTGGGCCATGCAATGTCACTTAAAGTGTAATATAAGGGAGTCTACCTTTCTGGAGATGAAGGAAAATTTTATAGATTACCTTAGGAATTAAGTTCAACAGGCTGCAAATTTTACCTTGGACATTGCACAGGACATTTTAAATGGGAAAAAGATTTTTATTAGAGCTGCATCAAATGCAAAATACTATTTTTTTCAATGAAAAAGCTCAATGTCTAGCACAGTGACTTCTGTCTAGAAGGTACTTAATAAATGTTTGAAATGGAATTATATTCTCTATTTATTGAAAATAAAATGTAGATGGAGATGGCATAATAAGCCCACAGCTTATGGAAGCCTCCATATTACTACATCAGAACATACCCCTATAAAAAGATGCCTTTTTAATTTCTTTTAAGTACTTTTGCCAATTTTTTTTAAGTTTAGCAAGTGCACAAATGAAAGAAAGAAGACCATGATTATTTTTCTAAAGATGTACTATTTCTTAAATTGAAGAATATTTTCTAAATTTAAAATAAAAATAAATACTTTATGGGTAATAATGATTTCCCCCTTCTAATATAAATCAACTCATCTACATTGACAAAATTAATGCTTTCATTAAACATTAGCACAGTACATTGCACATAATAGGTGCTTAATAAGTGTTGGTTAACTTGAACTGAATTCAAAGCTTTACCTAAATGGAAACTGCAATACTAGTGGGATTTATTTTTATTTTTAAATGAACTGAGAGTGTGCAAACTATGTGAGGTTACACAATTGAGCATATACTATATGGAACTATCAAAAGTCAACTATCTATAAGTCAAAAAGAATCTCAAGAATAGCAGCAATTGACCAAGCCTGTGTTTCACAGCTGAAAGAACAGTATTGTCCATTCTCATTTGTCAGCTCAGGAAGGCCCTTCCAAGGGGATCTGAAAGAAAGAAAACATACAAGTGAGCTTCCCCCCAAAGCTGATAGTCCCTCTAACTTCTCCATTCTGTTGTCAGTAAGCACACCTAGACTAGATTCTCAGAACTGTTAGTAAACCTCAGAGCTCTTTTTTGGACACCACTCATTTTATTATCAGTTACTAAGTACAATCTATGGCCTACTTTCATAATATATCTTTCATCTGTCCTATCACTTAGGCTCCCACTGCAAACGCCCTGGTTTAGGCCTCGATCACCTCTTCCTCTCCCTGGACGATTGCTAACAGCATTTTAAATGCTCTTTCTAATGTCAGTCCATTTTTTCTGTAGCTCATCTTTCATATGGTCATCCATCTTTTAATGCATTTTTCTAACCATGTTACTTCCCTACTTAAAGGCTTTCAGTGGCTCTCCATATCCTATTGATAAAATATACACATACAAACTCCAAATCTTGGTGTTCAAGCCCCTCTACAATCTTTTCCAGCCTTATTTCACTCTTCGTCATATAATATGTATTCTAGCTAGAGTACTTTGCTAACATTGTTGTCCATACTTAGGATTAATTCCCCTTCATCTCTGTCTGATGAGTCTTTTAGGGTTTAAATCAGGTGGCACCTTCCTCTTAAAACCTTCCTTGACAACTTTCTCATATTTGTGAATTGGAAGGTAACTCTCCATCTTCAAATTTCTCACAGAATTCTTCTTTGCACTTACTACACTCACCCTGTGTCATAGTTATTTGTGTATATGATGCTTCCCTATTGTAAGCTCCTTAAGGGTATGGTCTATGAAACATATACATATGTAGATCCACATCTCCATATAGATCTAATGTCTGTTCAACTGAATTGCTATGTCTCTGTATCCCAAGAGCCTAACTTTGTGCTTTGTACAAAGTAGGCACTTAATGTTTGCTTAATGAAACATTATGGAATACTAAAGAATCTTGTATTTTGACTAACAATTTTGACAGAATACTAGTTAGCAGCAAAACTGATTTTTCTCTCTTCTCTCTATTTGAGGAAAAAACAAAATAGACTGTAGTAATCTGTGGCAGAAGGAAACAATGTTTAGGCACAGTGGTACATGCCTATAATTCTTGATCTTGAGAGAGGCTGGTGAATTGCCTGAGCTCTAGAATCCTGAGCTGCAGTGAGCTAAGTCAATTAGGTGTTCACACTGAGTCTGGTACCAATATGGCGCTCTCCCTAGAGAGGAAGGGAGGACACCAGATATGGGAGACCCACTCTCAAAAAAATACATGTATATATGCATAAATAAAACAAATATTTCAGAAGTTTATGTGGAGGATATAAGGAATTTAATTGAACACACAGGAACTTAGTATATTCAGTTTGAAAATGAAGTACTCAAAATATCAATCAACCCTATGAAAATCATACTATTTAACAATAAGAGTTAAAACAAAATGAAAAACCCCTTTGTAGGTCTATGCTGTGTACCCATTCACAGTTTTCTTTAGAAAATTCCAGTATAAAAGAAGTACTTTTAGAAGTGGGGAATGCATTTCATTGGTATCTAAAATGTTTAATTAAACACTTGCAAAAGAGTTTAAATATATAACCTTACAACCTACCTCTCAAGATGAACATAATGACGAGAAAGAACATTTTTAACCAAAAACACTGTCTGTGAATAAGCTTCCTGGCCCATTAACTTAGAAAAATATAATTTTGCACGAAGAAAGTATCCAATTGGCCATAGCCATTCCTAAATATTAAAAAAAAGAGAGTTAATAACATTTAAGTGTAACTTGTGAGAAATAAAATTTCAATTTAGCTGAAAACTCAGAAAAGAGAAATAGTATTCTTACAGGTCCTTGGTGATAATTAAAACCTCTAGCAAGATTGTAGTTGTCATTGTCTAAAGAATTATCATATACTCCACAGTAAACCATGTCACTGCAAAAATGATAAAACATATTTAGGTTACAAAACAAAACATAACAAACCACATACAGCACATTAGAAAATATTTACCAACTGCCAGAGCTCGTCAAACTCTAAGTATTTAACTTAGTGATTTCTAAGCCAAAAAAGATGGTCTAATAAACCATATTCATTCATCTAGTCATTCATTCAATAAGCATTTAAGTACTTATGTGCCAGGCACACCTGAGAGACAGAGACAGCAATGAAAACCATTCCTGCTCTAAGAAGTTTACATTTAAATGGGGTGGGGGAAAAAGAAACATGTACACAGGGGAGAAAGAAACATGTACACAGCTAAGTAAATATAAAATATATATAATATAAATATAAATTAACTCGGGTAGGGCAAGCTGGGAGGGGAACATTTACAGTAAATGGGATTGTAGGTGCCTCTTGAACTGAAATCTTTAAAGAAGTTATGGATTCAACAAGGGAGAGGCGAGGAGAAGGAAAATTCCAGATCAAGGGACAGCCCATGAAAAAGCATGGAGATGCCTTTCTTCATAACTTTATGCAGTAAGTAGTGTAAGAATTATTACTGTCAATCAGTAAGCACTTATTAAGCACTTACTACAAGCCAGGAACTGTGCTAAGCAATAGGGATACAAAGAAAAGCAAAAGATTGTACCTGCTTTCAAGGAGCTCACAATCTTATTGGGGAGATAAAAAACTATGTACGTATAAGCTATAAATAGGAAATAACCAATAGAGGGAAGGTATTAGAATTAAGAGGAATTGAGAAAGGCCTCCTGTAAAACATGGGACTTTATCTGGGACTTGAAGGAAGATAAAGAAACCAGGAGTTGGAGATGAAAGAGTATTCCAGGCATGGGGGACAACCCAGAGTACGTGTGGGATATAAGGTATAAGAAGACTGGAAAAGTAGGAGGGGGCTAGGTAATGAAAGGCTTTAAACAATAGAGATTCCAGGACTCCTAGGGTGGCACAGGTAACTTGGAATAGTACTTAATCTGAGGTCATTGATTCCAAGTCAAGCATTTTTCCCACTATGTTTATATGGCTTCTCAAATGAGAGGAATTATACTTTTTAGATGACATTCTTTTTTCTCCACAAACATGAAAAATTTAGCAAGTATTACCAAATTTGTCTTTCAACTTACTCAGGGTCCAAAGTTTTCATTCCCAGGGTACCAAGTAACTTTTTCTCTGCTATTTCCAAAGCTTTCCATGCCTTCTTTGGAGTAAAGAGCTCAGGAGCCTGATGCATATTTAAAAATGAGAATTATTAGTTCTTTCTTTTTTTTAATTAATTTATTTTGATTTATCAGTAATCACTTCCACATGCTTTTGAGTTTAAAATTTTTCT